CCCCAATTCATAGTGTGGGATCTACAGCCCCCTTTGACACATGTCCTTGTGTGTAATCTCTTGTAGTACATGGTCAACTGAGAGCCCCATCAATGGGCTCTTTATAAACATAGCCGGGTAAGGCTAACACATTAGTCGCACCACTAAATAGCAAATTATTTAGGCCTATTGGGAATTCAACAGGCAGGGATATGAAAACAGAGTTAAAACCTTCAACTGTATTGTATATTTGAGGTATTATGATGAATCCATTCGGGGGTTTTGTTGAACGTCAACAACACCTTCCCAAAAACATGTTATTTTCAACACCATGCAGTTCGTCATCCTGCCGTTACATTGCTCCAAGCTAAATGTTTTGAAGACAAAATACCACAAATTCACTGTCTGGCATAACAATAACACTACTGTATGTAACAATGTACATGAAGGGATGAGGCATAGTGAGACTGTGCAGGTGAGACTTTTTAGAAGCAGGGCATTTATTTCTCTACTAATTAACCTCTCCTCCAGGATGTGTTTCATGGGGGAATCTGGAGACTGTAGCATCTGGGTAGATGTAGCAGGATAGCTGTGGTTGGCAGAGTGGTGTAGGTGAGCGTTGTCAGAGAGCAGGCTGGCTGGCAGTCTGGCAGAGCAGTAAGTCAACAGATGCCGCTGCCAGTCCCTGAGGAACACCGCCCATGTTCTCCACACCTGGACTCACAGTACTAGTCTTCTCCACACCTGGAACCCACAGAACCAATGTTCTCCGCACCTGGAAACCACAGAACCAGTGTTCTCCAGACCTGGTTTCAAAATGTGTTTTTGATTATTTGTTATTTACATACTTATTTTCTGTGTATTTGAGTATCTTCAAATAATGTGACCCGAATCAACTACTTCTATTGAAAGTATTTTCAAAGAATTCCCTATAAAAAGCCTACTATTTGAAAGTATCTTCAAATACTTATTTCAAATACTATTTTCAAATACCTGGGTTAAATGCATGTGAGTGTACTTGAGTCATGGTACTTGAGTATTTTAATACATTCCAATATTCAACTAGGCTTACTTGTCTGAAATACCCTAAATTGTATAGGTCTGGTGGCCTACACCTGGAATCCACAGAACCAGTGTTATCTGGTGCATCAACAAATAGTATTTTTTTCAAAAATAGAAATCTGTGCTAAAAATCACATCTTATCAAAATCTCACAATAATAAAATCACCAATGTTAGAATATTGTGGGGAAACACTTATTTTCAGCTAGTTTTATGGAGACATTAAGGCCTTATCGTGCCAAAATGAAAACCATGTCCAGTGATAACCACTGTTGTTGCCGCTTTTCAGCATAACTCTATTTCTGTCATCAAACATGCACTCTTTAGTTCTCACCCAGAGTGAGTCTGTATTTAATTTCTCATTCAAAATCCATTTGAGGAGGTGGACGGGACAAAGCCCATGTTGAGTGCTTTTGGTGCTGACTGATATTATAGCACAGGCAGCAAATTGAAAAGCAGCAGCTAAGAATGACAAGTAGCACACAATGCAGTGGCTGCACTGACCCCTGTGGCAGTGTGAGATGCCAGTTATATGGAGGAGCTATCCCCAACGACGTGACGTGACATCGCCATACCGCCCCCAATCTGAAATATTCCATTCAGTGTGGCCACTGAAAAGGACCTAGCTGCTCAATTTAATAATAATGGAGTAGGTAGTCATCATATGGCCGTGTGAGAACACTAACCCTAACCTTATAAAGGTGCGAGATAATTGAACCTTTTGTTTATTGAAAATTATTTATAGCTGATATAAAAGATACTGTCCTTGTGTTTCCAAAACCTTATTGCATGCGATGCGTTTTAATGTCCAGAACGAGTATCCGGGCTCTTAACAAAACACCCCCGGCCAGAAGATTCTATCGTCATTAGGCGCTAAAGATAGTGAGCGTCCATGAATGGATTAGGTTGGAGTTAGTTTCCCCTATTGGGATGGATGCATTTAAGGAACTAATCACAATTTTGTGCTAGAGAGGTTCATGTTTACTACAAGTGTGAACAGAAGCAGCATGGGAGCAATAGGAGGAATTGAGTAAAAAGAATACAAGTCAAATATTGCCTTTTTCAAACAAAAAAGTATAATATGGTAAGCATTTTACTCCAGTACACATAGAAAATGCATACCAGTCATATTGGGATAGCCTACAAACATGATGCTCTGTAGGACTATAGGATCGATAATAGCCTACAATAGGCCTATTGCCCAAATATCTAATTTGAACGGGCGCGATGTTTCACGTGTCCATGATCTTGTCATTTGACGCTCACATATTTTCAGTGAAAATATAAAAACATGTTTACCTGTGCAGTTTTCATTCGACTTTTCCGCCACTGCGACTGGACATCTGTAAAAGTTTCAACCCTGAAGAGGCGCATGCGTGACTCTGTGCCCTGTGCAACATGAAGGTCGGAACTATTACGTTCCTGTTATGCCCTAGTGCTGTCTATTAATGGCATCCAATAAATCGCCTATAGTCTGACGTAGTAGGCAAAAAAATAGCTAATAATGTTCTAAAATATGCCACAATAATATGTATAATGTGAGACATACAAATCATCATTGTCAGCTGATGTTCTCCATTTTTGCATACTTTTATCAATTAACTTCATGTTAAAAACGTGGTGGCAGTGTAGACTTGAGACAAAATGGCAGATCAAAATGTATTTATTGAAATCCTGCAGTTGTAGTTGTGCTACATCTTCAAAGAGAAAGTGGACAGAAAAAGTGGTAAACCAAAATACACTGCCACCACATTTTTAACATGATGTTAATTGAGAAAAGTTACTTAGAATGTTATACAAATAGCAGCCTCTACTGGCACGCATAGGCCTACCTTTCAAGTCTACAAACCATTTACTGCATAACTGTCGTCATAGTGCATCCATAAGCTACAGGTCCTTCTGTCTGGGAGCAGATATTTCGTAAAGGCTTACATCGGGGTAACTAACCATTTCTGCACTCGAAATCATATCTAACTGAGAGACATCGTTGTGTTCTTTCAGTGTCCTGAACTTATTTTTATTTCAAAATGGTCATTATATAAATGTAGGCTGCTATTAGGCCTACCATATTGGAAATGTACAATAAAATTGCCGATTAGATTTTAAAATGTGCATTTATCTCTAGACCTAGGATATATAACTTAGACCAAATTTTTTTGACACTATCACACACCCTGCTCAATAGGCTAAAGTCTCAAATCTAGCATTTACTAACAGTGAGTCTCTCCAAAACGACTTGGCAAATGCCGCATCTTACTTAGATCCACATCTGATAAATTAAATATTTACTAGAGCTGCGAATCGGTTGAGTGATTTCCAATTTTAAAAGAACATGCTGATGTAATCATGCGAATCTGAAAGCATAGACACTGCGGAGTGAATTTCTAGATTCCTCGACAGATAAATAGATTATGAACTTTTCAGGCCATGTTTTAACTGTCTGTGACTGTTGGAATATTCTACCCATCGACCATCTTCACGCCATCGCACGAGGAATAATTTCAGCTAGATACACAATTATAATTCATTAATATCGGTGTCATACAATGCTGTGAATGCAAGTCCATACTAGTCGTACCCTCTGGGGTCTAGGCTTACTTATTCGATATTTAAAAAATATATTCTATGATTCAGTAATCTAGGGAAAGAGTGCAGAATATTTTTTATAAAAGCACTGCAGAGTTAATACTGTTATTGATTTACTATAAATTATTATTATTATTATTATTATTATTATTATTATTATTATTATAGCGTGGTTATAGGCCTACAACAATAGATTTGCCTATATCATAGCATGTCTTGGAAGGAAACGTGGCATGACATCACCAGCAATAATAATAATAACAATAATAATAATTCATATATTCACTGTTTACATAAACAAATATAAAAGCACTAAAGAGAGATAACCCCTTCATTAAGATTAATAGTAACCATGTCTCAAAAGCCTGTTTAAATCTTCAAATGTCTTTCGTTAATGTACACAAATAGAAATGTAGGCCTATAGGTAGATAAAATAAAACAAAATGTAATACATTACTTGACCCTCCCCCTATGCTTTTTTCATTATGTTCTCCATTAGGTTATTGCTGCCGAGAACAACATTTAATTGTTTTATGTCCAGAGTAAAGCAACCTTCATGCATTTTATATTTTATTAAATAAAAGTGCATTACATATGAACCTGCGGTAACGTTAGGCCTACACATTTATGCAGGATTCAATCACTGTTACAAACTTAAAACATTATATAAATTAAGTAACATGAGGGGGGGAAACAGTTTACCATTAGGGAGACAAACAGTATGCATGTATATTACAAATGTACTTCAATTGTGTCACAACCAGTATTTCTTACACGTAAAATATGTGGCTAATTTCATTTCTATTTTTTTTCTTCTTATACTCAGCCAATAGGTTTGCCTGTTAAGCTTGTTCTGATATTGTTTCTCGGAGTCCATAATGGTTGAAAATTGAGGCCTATAAACAGGTGGATCTTATCACTTCACTATGAAATGTAATGTAAATTTCAAGTTTCAAAAACAAAACGAAAATGAAGATGAAGATGAGAATATAATCTATGCTTTTAGCAATTGACAAAGCTATAACAATGTCAGACGTCAGAACTGAGAGGAAGGGACTCAGCAGTGCTTGATACAAAAAACGTTTTTTTTTTTACACATAAATATTCACAGTAATATAATCTCTATTTAATACAACTCACGTTTCTATTTACATGTAAGTACCATCTTCTTAATGCTGAAACTTCTATAAATTGAAGAGTCCATGTTTTGGCCACTGATCCAGACTACAAAATTGCGTCTCTTCCTTTGATCTGGCATGCGTCCTCCGTCCTCGTGCAAACTTATTAATTTCAAAATTTGGACGAGAAAAGGGACAACCTGCACCAGTTGCACTTTGAAATGTTGCATCAAAAGTCTTTTTCCACCGTGTCTGTCTACGAACTGTCGTTTTCTGACGTATGAATAAGGAGTGAGGAGTTTGGTTTGTGTTTTTTCAGTAATTGTGTTATTTTCTCGTCGTCTGAGTTAGGGTCCAACGGCTTGTTATAATCATCATCATCGTCTTCGTTCTCCGAAGCCCCTTTCAGCCTCTCGGTCTCAGAATCCTGCTTCTTCTTTGCCGAAGCCATCTCAGCCGCGTGCCGTTTTCTCCATTTCGTTCTTCGGTTTTGAAACCACACCTAAAAAGTTGATATTCATTGATTACATGCAATCAACAAAGAACACTTTAATCTATTGCAAAGATATTGATTAACAACCATCAGACATAATTTGCATATAAATGATGTAGCCTTGGCCTACAAATATTGCTAATATGCCAAATTAAAAGGGCATATGCCTAGGTCACGTGAAGTCACCACATGTCCAAATAATAATAGGTTACATTTCATTCTAATCATGCATTTAGAAAAATTGACTAAATATTTTTCTAAAGAGATAATATGGGTTTTATTTGCGTCCTTCCATGTTGTTGGCAAACATGTATATTATCTATGTGCTGCTCTGCACTGCAAAACGTTGCTAACATTGTTTCCACATTTGCATGACATAAATTAACAAAATGCTTCGTTAAATTATAGTTTCCTTTATTATTAATTTATTAAATATACATACAAATATTTTAGAAATATTTATAGTTGTGAATATGACAACAATTAGGCCTATTTGAGAATGATTTTTAACGATTCATTAATATTAAATGCAATAGACAGTCATTTCAATTTAGATTAGTTTGACCACTGTTATTCGACTGAAATTGTAGGCTATATCTTTCTATTTATGAATATTGAAACGAAGGACAAAACACTGTCTAAAATACAAGAGGCACTTCAAATTAAAACGTGAGAACACTTCAAATTTAGTAGCAGAGGCTACAAGAGGCCTGTGTGCTCCCCTTTAGTGGCAGGTTAACTATATGCTACTTATTAAACAATATTATGCATCTTGTTGGATTTTATAAAGACTATTTCAGAATATGTCTTACCTTCACTTGGCTCTCTGTCATTCCCAACGAGTAGGCCAATCGTGCTCGCTCCGGCCCAGCGAGATATTTCGTTTGTTCAAAAGTCTTTTCCAGGGCAAATATTTGTTGTCCAGAGAAGGTGGGACGTGTATGCTTTCTTTTTCCATCTTTGTCGAGCAGTACAGAATTCTGATCTGAAAATGTAAAACATAAAGCATCTAGTCCATTAAACTAAATGTAGCCTATTGATAGAATATGCCAATATTAGGCTATTTAATATTTATAAGATATTAGAATAGGCCTAATGTTAGAATATTCTCATATGATATCATAATCAACTTAATATAAGCTTTTCTTGGTCCATTATAATAATGCACATTGCAGCTAGACATTCAAGTCAGATCTGCTTCGGTTTTTAGGATTAAATACCATAGGCTACTGGGGAAATATTAATAACCCCTGCAGCCTATACATTAACCATCAAAATAAGTTACATTGAAGTTCAGATAGCTAAAAAAACGTGAACTAGTTACTTACGGGGTGAACATGCGAATCTGGCGTCTCTCCAGTGTGGGCTTTGCATGACTCCTGGCCAGAATATCGGGGTCCTGCCTGGAAGGTCTGTCAACGGCTTGGGGTAGCGAGCCACTGCCACTGCTGCAGCGCTGGGGCTGAAGTAGAGCCCATGGGGTGGCGGGGGGCTCAAGCTACTGAAGCGGGGCATTCCGGACAAGATTCCGGCAGAAGAGGACGCAGCAACGGCAGCAGCAGCTCCTGGGGAGAGGATCGAGGGACGACTGAGGATGTCGTTTATTCCATGAGGTGTTCCTAGCGCGCTGAATTGATGGGGGGATCCGAGAGATGACATTCCGGAGGATGTTTTGATCCCCGGTGAGGACACCGGGATGCCACCGGGGTTTGGAGAGGTGGCAGCAGGTGAGGTAGAAGAGGCCGGCCCGGTGGAAGATAACGGGTAGGCTGAGTAGAGTGGGGTCTTCATCTCCGTCATGCTATGCAGAGCTGCTAAAGGTGGGGTGCTTAAGAGGAAAGCGCTCTGTCTGGACCCGTCCATCTGCCCCACGGCTAACATAACCGAGAATAGGTAAATGCGACGGTTTTGACAACAACAACAAAAATACCCGCAATGCTCACACTCTCAAGTGATAATGCAAAGTTTTGCTCATCAAACAGACAAAATAATACACGTTTCCTTGGAGGTAGGCCTATATTAGCCCAACTTCAAAATTTGCAAACTGTGTGCCTGAAAAATAGTCTCTAAAATGAAAATGTCCTGTTTTAAAACGAAACCATGCTAGATGAAATCCCAGATTAATTTAGCCGAGATTCAATACCCATTATTACAGGGATAACTCCGCTTCTTCAACCTTGCAAATCTTGAGGATAAAGTCGTTCAAATAGGATGAATTTCCCACGTCGTCCTTGCTAACTTGGGCAGACTGCTTTAGAGATTATATTGTTGAATGTTTGAAATCTATTGATAAAACGCCACCATTTCATTCCGATGCACAAGACGATCATTGAGATAATAAAACATTATCATCACTTTCTGCTGTCTTTTGCCGCAAAAGTAAAAACTTTGAGAGTAGAAAACAGAAAGTAGATGGGGTGTTTCTGTTGCGATTGGGTAACCCAACGGTGACGTAGGCGGTGTGTCAAGCGTGAGCGCCAACAGGATTTAGGAGTGTGTCCTCATTGGCTCTCCATCATATCTTTGATTTGCACATTAAAAGAGTTGCCACCCGACCCACTATTAGCCTAAACACAAAAGGAACAGAATCAATCCAGTCAATTCTAGATCTACTTTTTAGATAAAGGGACATCTGCATGTGCTCATCATGTGACATAGATCCAAATGTAGGTTTTGTCTATCCATACCCATTCATATTAAAGAAGCTGTAGCTTCTGAGAGATGCTTTCAGCCATAGACCTAAATATGACTCATGACATATTTATTGTCCGTTCAACAAGGACAAATAGTAGGCTAGCCCTAACGTTTTCGTTTATGTTGGAGGGCCATCACGAAAATGAAGCCCAAACAGAATTTGGAATAAATATAGCCTTGAGTAGCCTAGCCGTTTTAATCCAGTTTTGTAGACCTATTATTTAGGTTTAAAACTTTGAAACAATAGGTTATCTTGGATTGTTTCCTATTTGAGAAAATAGGGTACTAGTGTGTGTGTGTGTGTGTGTGTGTGTGTATGTGTGTGTGTGTGTGTGATTGTGTGTGTCTGTGAACAGCCTAATTAGATCAATTTAGTACAACACTTCCACTATTCGAATATTAATTCATACTAGGACTTTTTGTCAACAGAATTGTATATTTATCTATTGGGATATTGTTCCACAGGCTATATCATTATCAAATGTTTTTTGGTAACTATCCAGTATTGATTTTAATTAAATCATAGCCCTATGCTCAGTCTTCCAGCCTATCAATTCAGAGTGACAAAATCAAATGCACCAATAACCATTAAATAAATTGTCTATTGAAGATTTAAAAATCTTTAACAATGGATGTCAATAATATTCTTCTGCATTGGAAAAAAAGTTATATGGCTCATATATGGATGATATGGATCAATGTTTGAGTAGGCCTCCCTATGCTACATTGCAAGCAGTTCCTAAAGAACGACTCAAGGATTGCAAGACAGACACCAGTGACACCCTGTGGTAGAATCTAATACTGCAGTTAATGGAATGCTGCATTTCCCCAATATTTTATAGCAATTACTTTACCTTTTCTCAAATCTGGACCTCTGCTGATGATTGTAATTTTTTCCCCTCCAACCTGCCACTGATTCAGAAATATAGGGCTCCAGGTGAGTGGGATGTCTGGCCAGTCAGTGACATTAATCTAACTAACTACCAAGGAGAAAAGAAAGCAGTAGACTCCTCCAGAACTCCAGGCTCAGATTTGAGTAGGCTACCCCTGTATTTGTATTTATTTGAATTTACAAGGGATCCCCATTAGCTGCTGCCAAGGCAGCAGCTACTCTTCCTGGGGTCCAAACACATTAAGGCACTTCCATCACACATAAAACAAAAGATAAAACAGTACAGTGTTATTCTCATCGACGGGGCTGTAGTGGAACAGGTTGAGAGCTTCAAGTTCCTTGGTGTCCACATCACCAACAAACTATCATGGTCCAAACACACCAAGACAGTCGTGAAGAGGGCACGACAAAGCCTATTCCCCCTCAGGAGACTGAAAAGATTTGGCATGGGTCCTCAGATCCTCAAAAAATTCTACAGCTGCACCATCGAGAGCATCCTGACTGGTTGCATCACCGCCTGGTATGGCAACTGCTTGGCCTCCGACCGCAAGGCACTACAGAGGGTAGTGCGTACGGCCCAGTACATCACTGGGGCCAAGCTTCCTGCCATCCAGGACCTCTATACCAGGCGGTGTCAGAGGAAGGCCCTCAAAATTGTCAAAGACTCCAGCCACCCTAGTCATAGACTGTTCTCTCTGCTACCGCACGGCAAGCGGTACCGGAGTGCCAAGTCTAGGTCCAAAAGACTTCTCAACAGCTTCTACCCCCAAGCCATAAGACTCCTGAACAGCTAATCATGGCTACCCGGACTATTTGCACTGCCCCCCCACCCCATCCTTTTACGCTGCTGCTACTCTGTTAATTATTTATGCATAGTCACTTTAACTCTACCCACATGTACATATTACTTCAACTACCTCAACTAGCCGGTGCCCCCGCACATTGACTCTGCACCGGTACCCCCCTGTATATATAGCCTCCCTACTGTTATTTTATTTGACTTCTGCTCTTTTTTTCTCAACACTTTTTTTGTTGTTGTTTTATTTTTACTTTTTTGTTAAAAATAAATGCACTGTTGGTTAGGGGCTGTAAATAAGCATTTCACTGTAATGTCTGCACCTGTTGTATTCGGCGCATGTGGCCAATAAAATGTGATTTGATTTGATTTGATTTTACATCATAACATTATCACACCACTACATATCTACAATACAACATGTATAATACCACCATACAACAATATTACAATGTACGTGTATGTAGAGTGCTTGTGCTAGAGTGTGTCTGTACCTGTGTGGGTGTCTCTTCACAGTCCCCGCTGATCAGTTTTTTAAATCTGATTCTACTGCTTGCATCAGTTACTTGATGTGGAATAGAGTTCCATGTAGTCATGGCTCTATGTAGTACTGTGCACATCCCATAGTCTGTTCTGGATCTGGGGATTGTGAAGAGACCTCTGGTGGCATGTCTTGTGGGGTATGCAGGAGTGTCTGAGCTGTGTGCTAGTAGTTTAAACAGACAGCTCGGTGCATTCAGCTTGTCAACACTCTCCTCCACTTTGAGCCATGAGAGATTGACATGCATATTATTAATGTGAGCTCTCTGTGTATATTTAAGGGCCAGCCGTGCTGCACTTTTCTGAACAAATTGTAATTTTCCTAAGTCCCTCTTTGTGGCACCTGACCACACGACTGAACAGTAGTCCCCCATGGCCTTTTCTTTTGTTGGCAGTCTTGACCAGGCAGTTTGTTACTAGCGTTCAATTACCCACAAGTGAACAGATAAGCTGACAGATTCATGAAAAGTTGAAAACTAATTGTAGAAAAAAATACAGATTTAGGCCTATTAAAAAATGGGCAGATATTACTTATGTGATGTGACTCTTTCAAGTGCCTTTATTCTCTGAATAGGAGCACTTGTCTGAAATGACAACAACCTGTATTGAAGCCTACATCCAGTGTTGGGATCAGAAATCTGGACATGGGCGCCACCATGTGGAGAGATCTTATCCCAGAGTAGACCAACGATGTATATAAACGGAGAGGAAGAGGCGAAGCGAGAGGTTTCACTAAGCTTGTCGCCTGCCTTTCCGTCTTTGTGACAACGACTCCCATTGTTAGGGCAGAGACATGAGCATCTCGTCATTATATAGATCTCTGATGTAAACCCTGGATTGCTGATGGAACACGGGATGGAATAATTTATGTCAATACAGCACATGGATTCATCATGGATTGGGCACAGGTCTCTCTGATTGAACTGGTGAATGGTAGCTGACAGTGTCGGCTAGAGATGACGTGCAGGAGCCTCCTGCAGGAATTTGTAGTCTTGCTGAGGTCTTCTCTGTAGCTAATTAGCATTTATAATTTTTTAGAGTAAATTGAGGCAAATATATTGATAAAACTCACCTTGTCCAAGAGAGAATGACAGGGTTATCAAAACGCCTGTATTTACCCCCCAAAAATGAAACGCTATTTAGCTGCTAATGTGGCTATCATAAAGAACTATAAATGTAATGATGATCTGAACTAGACTGCCAAATCGAGGCAAAGGGAAGAATCTCTGGATTAACTATCTAATGTTAGCTACATTTAGTAATGAATAAATTGGATACATTTCTTTAAATGGTCAATTCTGTGAACTGTCTTGTGCAAGTTTCAAATTGACACAATACCTGTTAGCAAAGGTGCCAGCTAGAGATGACATCCGAGTTTGCGGAGATTTGTAGTCTTTCATGATGTCTACATTGATGCTAATTAACATTTTCGAATCAGAGTAAATAGAGCCAAATATATTGACATGTCACCTTGTCCGAGAGTGATTTACATGGTTATCAAAATGACACGCCAGGGTAAGCCTACATGAAACTCAGCCCTTATTTGAACTGTTTCTAAAATTCCATATGGGAAAAATGAATGGTGGAAAAACGATTGGAACCATTTCACTGCTTGACCGCTAGGTTTTATGGGTATTATAACACCTCCACTGTGGGGCTCTATTGACCAAAGAGGCTTTGAAGCCACCTGTCCGCCATATAGAGCTCTTCAGCTTGTAGTCCTAAAACCCATAAATGAGTTACCTCAGGTTCGTTAAGCCATCCCTATGGGAAAAATGAATGGGGAAAGAATAGGGTTTGGAATAAACACAGAAAATAAGGTCTGAGGTTAACAGGCTTATATACGTTTTGTTCTATAAGATAACAGCAGTCAGTTAACATCCTTTATGAATTATTTTTATTACATACACCACCGGTCAAAAGTTTTAGAACACCTACTCATTCAAGGGTTTTTCTTTATTTTCTACATTTTAGAATAATAGTGAAGACATCAAAACTATGAAATAACACATATGAAATCATGTAGCAACCAAAGAAGTGTTAAACAAATCAAAATATATTTTATATTTGAGATTCTTCAAATAGCCACCCTTTGCCTTGATGACAGCTTTGCACACTATTGGCATTCTCTCAACCAGCTTCATGAGGTAGTCACCTGGAATGCATTTCAATTAACAGGTGTGCCTTAAAAGTTAATTTGTGGAATTTCTTGCATTTGAGCCAATCAGTTGTGTTGTGACAAGGTAGGGGGGGTATACAGAAGATAGCCCTATTTGGTAAAAGACCAAGTCCATATTATGGCAAGAACAGCTCAAATAAGCAAAGACAAACGACAGTCCATCATTATTTTAAAACATGAAGGTCAGTCAATACGGAACATTTCAAGAACTTTGAACGTTTCTTCAAGTGCAGTCGCAAAAACCATCAAGCGCTATGATGAAAATGGCTTGAGGACCGCCACAGGAATGCAAGACCCAGAGTTACCTCTGCTGCAGAGGATAAGTTCATTAGAGTTACCAGCCTCAGAAATTGCAGCCCAAATAAACATTAGACCAGTGGAAATTTGTCCTTTGGTCTGGAGTCCAAATTTGAGATTTTTGGTTCCAACCGCCATGTCTTTGTGAGATGCGGTGTGGGTGAACGGATGATCTCCGCATGTGTATTTCCCACCGTAAAGCATGGAGGAGAAGGTGTTATTGTGTGGGGGTGCTTTGCTGGTGACACTGTCTGATTTATTTAGAATTCAAGGCACACTTAACCAGCATGGCTACCACAGCATTCTGCAGCGATACACCATCCCATCTGGTCTGGGCTTAGTGGGACTATCATTTGTTTTTCAACAAGACAATGACCCAACACACCTCCAGGCTGTGTAAGGGCTATTTTACGAAGGAGAGTGATGGAGTGCTGCATCAGATGACCTGGCCTCCACAATCCCCCAACCGCAACCAAATTGAGATGGTTTGGGATGAGTCGAACCGCAGAGTGAAGGAAAAGCAGCCAACAAGTGTTCGGCTTATGTGGGAACTCCTTCAAGACCGTTGGAAAAGCATTCCAGGTGAAGCTGGTTGAGAGAATGCCAAGAGTGTGCAAAGCAGTCATCAAGGCAAAGGGAGGCTACTTTGAAGAACCATTTGTGTTATTTCATAGTTTGATGTCTTCACTATTATTCTACGATGTAGAAAATAGTAAACAAAATAAAGACAAACCCTTGAATGAGTAGGTGTTCTAAAACTTTTGACCAGTAGAGTGTGTGTATGTATATATATCTAGCGCATATGGAAAGTATTCAGACCCTTTGACTTTTTCCACATTTTGTTACATCCTTATTCTAAAATGGATTAAATAGTTTTTTTTAAGCTAATCACATTTACGTAAGTATTCAGACCCTTTACTCAGTACTTTGTTGAAGCACCTTTGGCAGCGATTACACCACCATGCTTCACCATAGGGATGGTGCCAGGATTCCTCCAGACGTGACGCTTGGCATTCAGGCTAGAGTTCAATCTTGGTTTTATCAGACCAGAGAATCTTGTTTCTCATGGTCTGAGTCCTTTAGTTGCCTTTTGGCAAACTCCAAGCGGGCTGTCATGTGCCTTTTACTGAGGAGTGGCTTTCTTCTGGCCACTCTACCATAAAGGCCTGACTGGTGGAGTGCTGCAGAGATGGTTGTCCTTCTGGAAGGTTCTCCAATCTCCACAGAGGAACTCTGTCAGAGTGACGATCGGGCTCTTGGTCACCTACCTGACCAAGGCCCTTCTCCCCCTGATTGCTCAGTTTGGCCTGGTTGCCAACTCTAGGAAGAGTCTTGGTGGTTCCAAACTTCTTCCATTTAAGAATGATGGAGGCCACTGTGTTCTTGGGGACCTTCAATGCTGCCAAAAAATGTTGTTACCCTTCCCCAAATCTGTGCCTCGACACAATCCTGTCTCGGAGCTCTACGGACAATCCCTTCGACCTCATGGCTTAGTTTTTGCTATGACAGGCACTGTCAACTGTGGGACCTTATATAGACAGGTGTGTGCCTATCCAAATCATGTCCAATCAATTGAATTTACCACAGTTGGACTCCAAACAAGTTGTAGAAACATCTCAAGGATGATCAATGGAAACAGGATGCACCGGAGCTCAATTTCGAGTCTAATATCAAAGGGCCTGAATACTTACGTAAATAAGGTACGTTTTTAATTTTTTATAATAAATAATAATAATATGCCATTTAGCAGACGCTTTTATCCAAAGCGACTTACAGTCATGCGTGCATACATTTTTTGTGTATGGGTGGTCCCGGGGATCGAACCCACTACCTTGGCGTTACAAGCGCCGTGCTCTACCAGTTGAGCTACAGAGGACCACGAAAAGATTTCTAAAAACCTGTTTTCACTTTGTCATTATGGAGTATTTTGTGTAGATTGATGACATTTTTTTAATCAAGGCTATAACGTAACAAAATGTGGGAAAAGTGAAGGGGTCTAAATACTTTCTGAATGCAGTGTGTATATATACATACTTAACTAAATTATAAACGCAACAACTTCAAAGATTTTACTGAGTTACAGTTCATATAAGGAAATCAGTCAATTTAAATAAATTCATTAGGCCCTAATCTATGAATTTCCCATGACTGGGCATAGGCCCAGCCGATCAGAATTAGTTTTCCCCCACAAAAGGGTTTTATTACAGACAGAAATACTCCTTAGCACCCCTCCCCCCACAGACGACCCAGCAGGTGAAGCCGGATGTTGAGATCCTGGGCTGGCGTGGTTACGGTTGCGAAGCACTGCCAAATTCTTTAAAACGACGTTGGAGGCAGCTAATGGTAGAGAAATTAACATTACAGTTTCTGGCAATAGCTCCGTTGGGCATTCCTGCAGTCATTATGCTAATTGCACACTCCCTCAAAACTTGAGACATCTGTCATTGTGTTCTGTGACAAAACTGCACATTTGTGTTTTTATTGTCCCCAGCACAAGGTGCACTTGTGTAGTAATCATGCTGTTTAATCAGCTTCTTGGTATGCCACACCTGTCAGGTGGATGGATTATCTTGCTCACTAAGAAATTTGAGAGTAATAAGCTTTTTGTGCATATGGAACATTCCCAGGATCTTTTATTTCAGCTCATGAAAATGGGACCAACACTTCACATTCGTTTATATATTTTTGTTCATATATAGAAATCATTGTAGACTCATTTTCCAGGTCAATGGATTAAACGCCAATTCTGCCACTAACCTCATATTCATCATCTCCAGCACCGAACCAGTGTCCACATGTTAAAACAGAGCTTTTCTATGGTCTGTGGTTAAAAAGGATAAGGTCCTACAAAAATGCTTGTCTGACATCACAGGATAGGATTAAAAGTTAACAATGATTTTCATAACCTGCAACAACTTTAGCCCAAAGGAGGGTATTCTCACGCCCCAGATCACCGCAAATCAGTATTTGAAAATCACGGTTTACAATGTTTAAACTTTTGATATCATTGGGTAGAAATGTTTAACTATACCGTTTCCACTGGTATTGATCTGGAGATAATGAAAATGAGATTGAAAAGTAATGTGCACTAATCTGAAATCTAATCCTCATAACACATTGTGTATTGGCCTATCGCTTCCATTTTTACAGAACCCTTTGCCCCGCCTATGAAAGACAGCATTGGAGTCACTAGTGCCAACGGCTTGATTTTACAATGTACATACATGCTGATTTGAATAATAGATTTCTACAATGGCCTCATCCCTTATGGTTAGAATATTATCAGTTCTGCATGTGACATTGTAGTAAATAACCAAAATAACCAGTCTCATCTGCAACTTAACAGCATTGCCCTTAGGATACATGACAATCTATTTGGGTCGTATCAAACCTGGAGCCTTTAGATGGATTAAAGCCAACTTTACATGAGCAGTAGGGATTTCAGAAAAAGTATGAAGTGGCATGAAAAGACAAACATTCCATTTTGGTTAGAATGGTTCCATTTTATTTACATTACTCCCGTGCCATGAGTTTCTGCTTCTTCAGCTTCTTCTGAGAGACCTGCAGGACAAAGAAAATGTATCAGACCAACATACCGATAATACCCTCATAGGGACAGAATGATGTAGACTTAAATGCAAATGTGTGGTTGCTCAGCCTCATTCATATTTATTTTCATGGGTAATCCAAAGGTGTCCTAAGAAAGTCATCATTGCAACCATTTCATACAGACACTTATAAAAAACATAAGTGCAAGGTCTGATAAGACTTAATGAGTTATGCCAGAAGGATAGTAAACCATTGTTCATCAAGAGCTTGTACCTTCTAATCACACTGCTTTTATATGGGAAATATGGGGAAGAGTAAATATTCTCAGAAAGATACCAAGCAGAACCTTCTGCAAAAGACGTTAGCATGCATACCTTTTTCTTAGTGGCGACTTCCTCCTCTGGTTTGGGAACGATCTGCTCCTTCTCTGTGAGGATCATCTCAATGTGGCATGGGGAGCTCATGTAGGGGTTGATGCGACCGTGGGCACGGTATGTGCGTCTGCGCATCTTGGGGGCCTTGTTCACCTGGATGTGCTCGATCACCAGGGAGTCTACATCTAGACCCTGTCAGAATAGAGCAGAGATTAAACCGGTTAGCAAGTAAAATCAAATAACACACACACGGCCAGTTGTCTGTGGGATACAGTACTTAACCCTTGAGGGAATTGGCCTATATGTATAGGGCTAAATTACAATGTTTCTTACAGAAGAAATAAGAAAAGCATATGATAGCAGCAATTGAAAGTGAAATTGAGATCATGGGAAAATTATTAGACCAAAATTGAGGACAACAGTTCACCTGACAAGACTGAATCCAAACATTACACTTGATTTTATATGCATTTTACATATACTGTACATTTTGCTGCATTTGATGATAACAATCTGAAAATACTCTGAATACAGTAACATAATATTCCCCGGGAAATTTGGGGCAGGTGCAACATAATACAAAATAAATGACACGGGTTTGAGTGAGAGGACTAACTGGTGTCTCCAAGTGGCCACACACCTCCAAAGTGTGCACAGTTAAGTAATTTCAATGCACTTGTATGACGGTCTTCAAACTATAACTAGGTTTCCATACAAGTAAAGTACGTCTTAAAAAACATTAACTAGGTTTCCATACAAGTAAAGTACGTCTTAAAAAACATTTCACGACAGGCCTGATGGAAACACCAAATTTGTCGGTAAACTTTCCAAATGTTGAGAAAACACGCTAGTCAAGGTGGGATCTTTGTGTCTAAAATAAATTATCCATGAAATGGCAACGGAAATGCTTTTATGCTCAAGTATTGATATAATAACCATCATATCGAAGTAAACTTGGGAGCCACGTAACGACTCGGGAAAGAATGCAGTTTAATAGGCTACAAATGAAATAAGTGATGAACTTCACAAGGTGTGGTCCTCTGTAGCTCAGCTGGTAGAGCACGGCGCTTGTAACGCCAAGGTAGTGGGTTCGATCCCCGGGACCACCCGTACACAAAAAGAAATTTGCACGCATGACTGTAAGTCGCTTTGGATAAAAGCGTCTGCTAAATGGCATATTATTATTATATTACAAGGTGGTGAAAGTGCACAGTGATTAATGCTCCTTTCCAATAAATAGAGGGTCCTCTTCTGGAGACATGCTCAATGCTTGGCTCCCTTTAGACAATCTCACTTGTCCATAATAATCTCATGTAGACCATCCTACCCGCACTGTATCTGCGAGCCGTTGGTTAGAGCGCATGTGCCAAGACCACAGTGGGCACAGTTGCAATATAACGTTTTTTTGGTTGTTGTTGACAAAACCATTTTACCTGTATTTATTTTGTACATTGGAATTTAACCGCAAAATTTATTTTTATGTGCACTACGTCATCACAGGCTTTTATCCGCAACAGGTCAATTTGATGGAAACATCTCTGGTGGAAAAATGCGCATATTGTTTTTATGCAGATCTTTTGAATATTTGCATTAAAACTGTCGCCAATTAGATGGAAACCTAGTTTATAAAGAACTTTGAGCTCTCCTAGCTGTGCCGTTGAAGTAGAGCAAGCACACTTGTAGTTTCGTTTGGAACACAACCCTGCATACACCACACAATTAATGTTGTTTACGCAATACAAAAACTGTCCATTATAAGTCGCAATCTGAGTCAGGTGGGCATGATTTGAAAGCTTGTTATATTGCCAACATGACAACATGTAATAAAATACGATCTTACATGGAAATTCAGACAAACTTTGTAATTGGTGCGCATATAGCGCATTCGGGAAAGTATTCAGACCCCATCACTTGTTCAAAATTGTTGTTACGTTACAGCCTTATTCTAAAATTGATTAAATTTACAGCATTTCCCTCACTCAAACAAAATTTGCAAAAGTTCCTAAAACAGCGGGAGGGATGGGGCAACTTGTCATTTGTGGTGCTCAAGTTCAGAACGGCCATCAGTCAAAACCCATACACCACTGTGAAGCGCAGAGCCAGAACTCTGGCATGCATCGCATGTTACTGTACAGCCACTACATTCCAATTTAGGGGTGTATCAGCGCCCAAATCTAATTATTTACACTCGTACCCGTATAAGTGTTAAAATGGCAAAGCTAGAATCCTTAGTTGCTACATCAATTTTTGGACTTAAATTAATTATATATACCCATTGATTCTTGAAGACTCAAACTTCTAAATGCCTCATGAGCTTAGTTCAACTGTTGTACCCCATCAGAACGCAAAATAAGCTTGTTATAGTCCAATGTTTGTAAACAAATTATATTAAAACAAATACTATAGCCTCAAAACATGGTTAAAACAAATGTTTATATCATGGATGTCAGTCCATGCATTCATAGCTCTTGCTTTGAATTTGAGAGGGTTAACATTTCAGGCCCATCCCGCAGCTTTTGACCAAAACAGCCTTTATCGTTTCAATTAAGGATTCCAGCTTTAAATTATATTGTTCATACAAGCATCATGGTGGCTCAGATGTAATATTTTCATGGTTAATACAAAAGGTGTCCCAAATGGTCATCAATGCAATCATGAATTATGCCCATTTCACAGTTTGAACCCCAACAAAAAGAAAAATCCTAAATATTATAATATAAGCTTGATAGCATCATACTTTTCACAAATCTCTCCACTAGAGAGAACTACAGGCATGCCACGATAAGAGGCAGGCCTAACAAATATACCAAAATTACCTTCAGCTCAGCGTTGCTCTCAGCATTCTTCAGCATGTGGAGAAGGAACTCTGCGCTCTTCTTGGGCCAGCGTCCCTGTGTCCAGTCAAACTGCTTGGCCTGCAGAGGAAAGGTTGTGTCAGCAGTGCGCATAAAAGACCAGGCCAGAATAGGTGCCCCCATTTCTGGTCCACATTGGGGAAGATGTATGTAGACATAAGTGCAAATGTGTGGTTGCTCAGCCTCATTCATATTTATTTTCATGGGTAATCCAAAGGTGTCCTAAGAAAGTCATCATTGCAACCATTTCATACAGACGTGCAAGGTCTGATAAGCCAGAGAGATTGAAAATCATGTTGTTCCCCTCTCCAATGCCCTTATGTTGAACAATATTTGTTTTAAAGATCCCTTTCATAGCTTCTAATCCCAATACTTTTACATGAGAAATATATTAAAGAGTAAACATTGTCAGAAAGATAACCAAGCAAAGTCCCATATACACATTTAAATTGAGACTAGGGTAAACGATACTGAATTGAAGCTTACCTGGGCACACCTGCTGACACCCCCATTGTAGCGGCGGAAGGGAACACACTGGTGCTTGACTGTAACATCCTTCAGGTACTTGGTGGCCTTGCGGATGTGCATGCCTTTGATGGTCTGAGCTGTCTCACGGGTGTTCTGATGGGTAACAAACAACATCAATATACTGTAGTAGCTAGCTATATCAATAACAGATTTTTATAAATTGGTCTAATAGGCATGGATGCAAAATTGCTCAGTTATTTGTTAGATATTGTCACATTTGACTCCAAAGGTCTCCAATGTTGTCATCATAGCAAAGCATCATACCTTTCAGTCTGCACACATTTATGACTACCAACACATATCAACCAACAGCAAATGTAACTCCCACACTGATACAACTACAGTAGACAAAATGTCTGAAAGCAACTTCTCATGTCACTCAGAAAAGACAACACCTTACCTTGAAGTGAACCCGGAGATTGGAGCCCCTCGACTTGCATGCTGCGGAAGAAAATACAGCAATGATCAGTGAGGTCACAAGACAGAAATGCATGGTGAATAAACCATTTATGTGCAAATGTATGGTTACTCAGCCTCATTCATATTTATTTTCATGGGTAATCCAAAGGTGTCCTAAGAAAGACATCACTACAACCATTACACGTATAACTAAATATCATGGATAAGTCTGATAAGACTTCACGATTTATGATGGCAGAGGGATATAAGATAACGTTAACCAGTTAACTTGCATTAGCGAGCTAATGAATAAAGCCAGGGCAACAATCACACCAGTACTCACACTTAGTCGGGTTCTCGGGGTCGAGCGAGTAGCGGACCATTTTCAGATATCTGCAAAAGATAAACGGTTTGTTAGTTAACTAGCTAACTAAACCTAGTCGGCGAACGTGTTAGTGTGTTGCTTGACTGAGAAACACAAGTCAGACATCTTGGATGCGCTACGTGTTAGTTGCTAGCTAGCAAACGTTACCATACAGTTGCTGGTTTAATTACAAACCCAATACAACGAGCAAATCACATACGACTACATCACTGGGACTATTTATTTCATCAAGACTCATTCGTAGGACCGGGGACAACATTACGGTCATGGTTTTGTTAGCCATGCTAAAAGTGGCTGAGGGCCAAGCAAATCACAAATATGACTATTTGTGAAAATATACACCGATACACGCATGGACGCCGAAATTTCTAAGTAGTAGTTTAAATACATGTAAGTACAAAATGTAAGAGTCGGGATGCCATAGATATTGAAGCGATTAAATGGATTATCGGCCGCAGTTGTATGCCTCTTCACTTACTTTCTAAGGCCGCGGAAGGGAAGAGGTAGAATGAAGCATTCTGGGAGTAGAAATCGTGAATGTCATCTCGCGAGATTTTCAGAGAGCTTTGAACGGGATTAGGTGTTCTTCTTTGGTGTCATTTCTGACAGGGCATTTATTCCAATAGAAAGAGTTTACCGCCACCTTTTGTATTACAAAGATATTGCATTCTCGTTTTGCACTGGCGGACTTAACATTAGGCAGAAGAGGCCTCACATCATCAAGGGGCCTCATGAGCTGGTCATAAACATTTAAAAAACACAATTGTAAACCGGTACCAGGCCGAAAAATGAACCTTCCCAAGTTCTCTCACGTCACCCCCCTCCTCCGCACACTCCACTGGCTTCCAGTTGAAGCTCGCATCCGCTACAAGACCATGGTGCTTGCCTATGGAGCAGTGAGGGGAACGGCACCTCTGTACCTTCGGGCTCTGATCAGTCCCTACACCCAAACGAGGGCATTGCGTTCATCCACCTCTGGCCTGCTGGCTCCCCTTCCTCTGCGGAAGCATAGTTCCCGCTCAGCCCAGTCAAAACTGTTCGCTGCTCTGGCACCCCAATGGTGGAACAAGCTCCCTCACGACGCCAGGACAGCGGAGTCACTCACCACCTTCCGGAGGCATTTGAAACCCCACCTCTTTAAGGAATACCTGGGATAGGATAAAGTAATCCTTCTACGCCCCCCCCCCCCCCCCCCCCCCCCCCCCCAAAATTGTAAAGTGGTTATCCCACTGGCTATAGGGTGAACGCACCAATTGGTGAGTCGCTCTGGATAAGAGCGTCTGCTAAATGACGTAAATGTGCCCTTGAGCAAGGCACCTAACCCTAATTGCTCCTGTAAGTCGCTCTGGATAAGAGCGTCTGCTAAATGACTAAAATGTAATGTAAATGTAATGAAAGTGAATAGGGCATTTCCACGTAAAAAAGGTATAGGGGTAATTCCACGATTTAAAAAAAAACATTCAGAGCTTTGTACTAGGCAAGTCAGTTAAGAACAAATTCTTATTTACAATGAGGCCTACACCAGCCAAACCCAGACGACGCTGGGCCAATTGTGCTCCGCCCTATGAGACTCTCAATCACAGCCGGTTGTGATACAGCCTGGAATTGAACCAGGGGGTCTGTAGTGGCTCCCGAGTGGCGTAGTGGTCTAAGGCACTGCATCGCAGTGCTAGCTGTGCCACTAGAGATCCTGGTTCTGTCGTAGCCGGCCGTGACCGGGAGACCCATGGGGCGGCGCACAATTGGCCCAGCGTCGTCTAGGGTAGGGGAGGGAATGGCCGGCAGGGATGTAGCTCAGTTCGTAGAGCATGGCGTTTGCAACGCCAGGGTTGTGGGTTCGATTCCCACGGGGGGTATAAAAAAAATAAAAATATATGCACTAACTGTAAGTCGCTCTGGATAAGAGCGTCTGCTAAATGACTAAAATGTAAATGTAGTGACACCTCAAGCACTGAGATGCAGTGCCTTAGACCACTGCGCCACTCGGGAGCCCGAGATGCTGTTTGTATCTCTCAGAGATAGCACAGATACTTCAAAACATACTTCCTTTTGTTTTTCCATGTATGAATCTGTTTTAAATGGATTTCTATGGACTTATAGCAGTAAGGCCAAATGTTTCATAAAATATATATATTTGTATATTTACAGGTATTGCTAAATGAACTTCTTAAAACAATTCCATATGTTAGCTTAGTAGAAACTAAGACTCTAGGGGATACAATACGCATTTCTTTAGGAAAAAGACAGGTGCTGCTGATAATACTGCCATCGTCGTCGAGGCAGAGGACATGTATGTGTAGCCCATGTATCTGATGCTGTCTGGCCAAAAAGATTATGGCATGTCATACTCTTTTTGGCCAGAAAGCATCAGATACATGGGCTACATACTGTATAGTAAGACAGAGGGGCGCTGTTACGCTCGCTCGGATGCTTTCTCCGGTGAGATCGTTTCAGCCACTTGCGAATTGAAGGAAAGTTGGCAGGTGCACAGTGCACTGTTCAGATGCTGGAATTATTTTTGATGAACGTGCAAGGGTAACCTACTTTTTTAAGTGATTTGTTTGATAATCAGATGAAAACATCATGACTGGTTCTGTTCATGGCACATTAAAAGGTATTACATTATTACAGTTAAATTACGTCTTTACTTTCAATCCTCTTCCTGAGGCCTCCAAATCACTAAGTTGGCCCCTGACTAGATGGGACCAAAGAGCAGGAAAATTATGTTCTCTGACTATTTCAAGTACAGTACCAACATCAACATAGACATAATATTGTTTCCCACAATGAAATCGGGGAAGGGACAGTGGATCTGTATTCGTCCGTTAGTACGTTAGTGCGTTCGTACATTAGTCACACGCGATATCTCAGACTGCACTAGCCCGATTTTGACGAAATTTGGGTGAATGATGAGTCTTGCATTTACTAAATTACACTGATTGACCAGATAGTGGCGCTATAACAAGATATTTAAAATGCTTTGAAGTGTCACGTCCCTCACCCCGTTTAACCTAAAGTCCTGAAATTCAGTACATAGCTCCCTCTCCTCACAAAGAACAAATTTGCCTCAGCGACCGATAAGGTCCACCATGATGGATTTTCCGCCATTTTTAATTTTGTGAAAAAGACTTAAATGCACTCTTCTGGCACCAAATAATCGATCTGCACGAAACTTGATATGTGGCATCTATGGACAAAGGTCTCTCAACGCAATATTTTACAGACTAGTACCTAAAACAACATGGGCGTTATTGACCAACAAACATTCCCGTTGGCGTGGTCTGGCACATAAATGCATATAAATCGGTCAATGATATTCGTATTGTAAAAAAAAACTGGTACACATCTTGCAAACACTGTCAAGACTAAATATATGCAAGAACATTAATATTGACAACACGGAGGCGCTATAACGGGCACATGTTTATATCTCTTGTACTGGAGTTTTTGCAGTGGTGTAAAGTACATAAGTAAAAATACTTTAAAGTACTACTTAAGTAGTTTTTTGGGGTATCTGTACTTTATTTTACTATTTATATGTTTGACAACCTTTACTTTTACTCCACTACATTCCTAAAGAAAGTAATGTACTTTTTCTCCATACATTTTCCCTGACACTCAAAAGTACTACATTTTGAATGCTTAGTAGGACAGGAAAATTGTCCAATTCACACACTTATCAAGAGAACATCCCTACTGCCTCTGATCTGGTGGACTCGCTAAACACAAATGCTTCATCATGTCTCATGTCTGCCTATCCGTAAATACAAAAAAAAAAAAATTATCGTGCCGTCTGGTTTGCTTAATATAAAGAATTTGAAATGAATCATACTTTGACTTTTGATACTTAAGTATAGTAATTACATTTACTTTTGATCCTTAAGTATATTTAAAACCAAATACTTTTAGACTTTTCCTCAAGTAGTATTTTACTGGGTGACTTTCACTTTTACTTAAGTCATTTTCTATTAAGGTATCTTTACTTTTACTCAAGTATGACAATTGGGTACTTTTTCCATCACAGAGTTTTTGGGACCACTCATCTCCACATCAAATGATTAGGTGTGCTGCTGAGGTCTGTTTTATCACTAGAGGGGCTAATCATTCAAATGTTTGTAGGATAGGAGTCTCTGATTTTGTGGCACTGCTAACTGGGCAACTAGTCAACATAGGACTAGCTGTGACGTAAGTAACTGATATACAAGAGAGCTCCTTTTTATCAGAAAGTGCTGTGAACTAGTCTGTGAAATTCAGATTGAAAAATAGATGGTCAATGCGGCATGTTATATTTTTACCTTGATTCTAGACTGTCTTGATCACCTATACAGTGTCTTGCAAAAGTATTCATCCCCCTTGGCGTTTTTCCTATTTTGTTGCATTACAACCTGTAATTTAAATTGATGTTTATTTGGATTTCATGTAATGGACATACACAAAATAGTCAAAATTGGTGAAGTGAAATGAAAAAAATTACTTGTTTCAAAAAATTCAAAAAAATAAATAATGGAAAAGTGGTGCGTGCATATGTATTCACCCCCTTTGCTATGAAGCCCCTAAATAAGATCTGGTGCAACCAAATACCTTCAGAAGTCACATAATTAGTTAAATAAAGTCCACCTGTGTGCAAAGTGTCACATGATCTGTCACATGGTCTCAGTATATATACACCTGTTCTGAAAGGCCCCAGAGTCTGCAACACAACTAAGCAAGGGGCACCACCAAGCAAGCGGCACCATGAAGACCAAGGAGCTCTCCAAACAGGTCAGGGACAAAGTTGTGGAGAAGTACAGATCAGGGTTGGGTTATAAAAAAATATCAGAAACTTTGAACATCCCACGGAGCACCATTAAATCCATTATTAAAAACTTGAAAGAATATGGCACCACAACAAACCTGCCAAGAGAGGGCCGCCCACCAAAACTCACGGACCAGGCAAGGAGGGCATTAATCCGAGAGGCAACAAAGAGACCAAAGATAACCCTGAAGGAGCTGCAAAGCTCCACAGTGGAGATTGGCGTATCTGTCCATAGGACCACTTTAAGCCGTACACTCCACAGAGCTGGGCTTGACGGAAGAGTGGCCAGAAAAAAGCCATTGCTTAAAGAAAAAAATAAGCAAACACGTTTGGTGTTCGCCAAAAGGCATGTGGGAGACTCCCCAAACATACGGAAGAAGGTACTCAGGTCAGATGAGACTAAAATTTAGCTTTTTGGCCATCAAGGAAAATGTCTGGCGCAAACCCAACACCTCTCATCACCCCGAGAACACCATCCCCACAGTGAAGCATGGTGGTGGCAGCATCATGCTGTGGGGATGTTTTTCATCGGCAGGGACTGGGAAATTGGTCAGAATTGAAGGAATGATGGATGGCGCTAAATACAGGGAAATTCTTGAGGGAAACCTGTTTCAGTCTTCTAGAGATTTGAGACTGGGACGGAGGTTCACCTTCCAGCAGGACAATGACCCTAAGCATACTGCTAAAGCAACACTCGAGTGGTTTAAGGGGAAACATTTAAATGTCTTGGAATGGCCTAGT